GGATGTCCTGGACACCACCTCAAGCACCTTATTTCTGGTGTGTTTGTGGAGATCTGTCCCCAAGGTGACAGTATTTAGAGTGAGATTAGTCAGCTGTGGTGGGGTGACCCACTCAGGTCACAGGGAATTCTGCATCAGAGTCATTCAGGTGACTCTGAGGAGCCCCACCCAGTCATGGCTTGCCCAGAGTCTCCTGCAGGCATTCCAGGAGCTCCTGTCTCTCCTGAACCCTTGTTACTGACAAGCAACAATGCCTGGGGGCATGTGGGCAGAAAAGAGAGACCCAGAAGAACAAGTGAAGTGATGGCCCATGGCAGGAGGGGACACAGGCGAGGACTTTGCTGTGTTGTGGCAGCAGTGCCCTCACTTGCTGTGGGCTTGTGATGAGGTGTCAAAACAAGACTGGTGGGGCACAGCCCACACCAACCTGCCCATTACAGTCCTGCAAGCCTGGATCCTGCTGCCTGCCCCTGAGCCTGCCAGTCCACACTGAGGATGCCCAAACTATTCAACAACCAGAGCAAGGACATCTTTACTTTCCACCCCAGACAGAGCTGAAGAGGAGAGAGCCCCTGGCTGTGCACATCAACTGATGGAGGACTGGAAATTTGATGGAGAACCTGCCAGTATTTCATCCTCTAGAATGGACCAAAGGCTCCCTCATTTCCAGAGCTTTCAAGCCTTCATTATTCCCAACCAAATACCTCCTGGGCACAAACTTCAGTACCTATCCCACCCTTCCTGTTGCAGGTGATTGTTTCCCAGGCGAGATGCAAACAGCAAACATCAGACATGCTCTCTAGAAATGGCATTTCTATGGGGTGGTTCTTAATGCCTCAGTGCCAGCCCCAAATGCCAAGTGCAGCAACCCAGCCTTATCCTGGAGGGCATCTCTCTGCAAAGGCAGAGCCTTCTCCTCACTGCCCAGGGCACAGCAGGGCAGCCCAGCAGTGCCCAGCACTCACCTGTGTCATAGTGCACTACCAGGGATCCAGAATGATCCCCGGTCTGCAGAGGGTGAAATTCCACTGTCACTTGCAGGATGTCACCAATGCCAAGAGTTCCCATGGTCGGAGTGACAGAGAAGGGGCTGCAACACAGAGAGAGATCAGGACTCTTGGGGGAGATCTGGGGATGACATTCCTTTTGCAGTCCACTTCAGCTCACTTGTGCAAGGAAGGAGCAAACCAACCACAGTCAGCAGAAAGCAGAACACACAGGATGAGAAACTGCTACTGGCTCACTTCTGAGGAGATCCAGCCCTCAGGAGAGCCTGCTCTGGTTCCTTTTGTTACTCTATTACAAGTCTGTTATCACCCACAGGTGTTTTGCACAAAGAAAGACGAGCTGCTTTACCTCTGGGTGCTGATTTGGTAACGGGCTTCCCTGTTACCAAGGTTGCGAACCATCAGAGTCTTCTCGGTGCTGTACTTGACTGGACAGACCGAGAAGTCCAGCTGGTCAGGGAAGTCCAGGACAGCTCGGGCACCAATGGCCCGAATTGGCACAATGAACTCTTCTCTTTCAGTGGTGCAGACGAGACAGTGGAAATAATCCTGCACAGAAAGAAACAGCCTCAGCACAGAGCATTCGTCCACATCTTCACCAGGGCAGAGTACCCCATAATTCTAGATCCAGTGCAACTCCACTGAAACCAGCTGAGCTCCTCAACACCCAGGCCAGGTGCCCTGTCCGGAATCCAGCCCTGCAGGTTCACTTTCCACTGAAGGCACTGACCTCTTGGGACCTCCAGACTCACCTTGTTCTCCCCAGGGGTGAAGACGATGCGTAAATTAGAACACATGCCCGGTGGCACCTTACGGTACGCACCGCTGGGGCCAACCAGCTGGAAATAAGGTGAACTCTCCATTGTGACCTTCACCAGCCGAGGAACCTGCAGGAAAGACGTGGAACAATGATTTTGCCACTTGTGGAAACACGCAGAGAAGAGACCTGGCCATACCCTGGTGACATCCTTCCTTAAACACCTTTCCAAAGCACTTTTAGCTCCGGAGGTGCATGCACATAATAAACAAGGGTGGACTTGAATCCCATCTGCCTGGGCGAAAGCAGCTCAGCCAGAGAGAGTAGGACAATTATTTTTTACTAAGACTGGTAGAAATGTTAATATAAATGTCCTTTTACATTGGAGGAAGCATGAGTAGAGCAAATTCGCTGTTTGTCTGTTGGCTGGTACTTGGCAAAGACAAATAAAAGCTCCTTTGGGGTAGATACCACCAACACACAGCCAAAATTGAGAGGATCTCCAGCATGGGAAGAGATCCATCATCTTGCCAAACAGAGGTGCTGAGACATTTCATTCTGGGTGTGCTGCAGCAGGTAACTTGCTCTGCTTACACCACAGGAATTGCACCTCTCTCCTCTTCCAGCACACTGTTAAACCTCCCCATCCCAGCACTCACCATGTCCCTGTTCCTCAGAACCAGTGGCATTTCACAGACCTCGTGTGGGACGTAGTTCTGAAATACCACCTCTGATGGGAAAACATGAAACAAGGTCTGGTCTGGGTCAACTGCTGAGACCTGGAGAGGCAAGAGAGAGCAGGGAGAGGTTCAGCTGCTGGGAGGAAGGTTCACGAATGAGGATCCTGCACTGACCCCCAGTGAAGTACAGACTGTCACTGAGTACTGCCCTGCTCCCCCTGGGGAAACAGCAGCTCACCCACCTCTGCTCTGAGCTGATCAAAAGCTGCTGCACCACAATGAGCAGGCTCAAGCTGAGCAGCTCTTTTGACACTCTTTTCAAAAATACCACATCAAAGAGCAAGGAAAAGTGCAGGAAAAGGCTACCTTGTGATTGGAGGTCTCACTCATATCTCGATGCTGGACAATCTGGGGCAGATTAATCTGCGGAACGCTGGCCAGCCTCTGCTTGGTGGTGAGAGACATCTGCTTCTGGAAGGCAGAGGGAGTCAGCTGAAAGGCAAAAAAACCAACAAGAACCTCAGAAATGCCCTTGTTCAGAAAGGTTTTTCTTGTTCAAGTGCCACTGATGAATAATTTGTGATCACAGCCACTAGGACGGTTCTGGAAGTCCTGGAAGTTACTTCCTGAAATATTTAACATCAGTTAATTAATGATATAGAGCAGAATGCACATGCTCTAACCACGTGGCTCTGTCCCATTAGCTGCTCCGTGATTTGATGTGACATGTTTGGGGAATTCTACTCTTTGGGAATTTGTTTCCTCTCTAGTTGCAGTGGATTGAGCCAGTGACCTTTGCAGAGAGTGGGGAGGAGTTATCAGAACTCCCCCAACTCCATCCCTGCACAATGCTCTCGACCCACGGCGTGTGGAGATGTCACTGCTGGGTGAGTCTGAGGAAAGCAGGAAAGCAGCGTTGTGCCAAGGCTGAGGTGCAGAGGAATGGCTCCAAGTTTTAGTTTTCTCATTAATTAGCACTTGTTTTCTCTCTGTCTGGCCTCACAGGCCCCTCCACAGAAGTACACAGAGAGATCTCCTTGGCAGAGCCTCAGTACTGGGTCATCTCCAGTCGAGTGAGCTCCAGTCAGCACAGGGGACATTTGCAGATGGGAAGGAGGAATTGCCCCGACTCCACTGCTGCCTGCAGGGCTGTATCTGTGCTCCACACAGGAGATGAGATAGAACAATTGGTCTGGAACCTGCTCTAGCTGGGACCAGCCACGTCTCTTCAGGCAGAGTTTGAGCAGCACAGGTGAGTGTGCTGACCTGCCAGAAGGAATTCCTGCCCACACGAAGGGGATGGAAAGAAGCACACGCTCATGCTTCAGCTTTGCATTTGTTTAACTTGGCTCCAGTGGCACAGCCAGGCAAGATCTGGACTGTCCCTGAAGGAACATACAGTCCATCCCCTGTTGCACCATGACAGCCCCTGCCAACAGAAGCACAGCACAAAGGTGGGGAGGGGTCTGTATCTCCACAGTGCTGCTGGACAACGGGAGGGGCAGGGAGAGGAGGGACACAGGGAGTTTCCAGCCTTAACACAGCTGCCACCTAGCCACACTGGGTACTTACCATTACAGGCTTCTCTGCCTCTCTGGCCAGCTTTGGAATATGAGGTTTCACCTCTGTGCCCTGGAATCCAGAAGCCATCCTGGAGGATGCTGTGGGTGGACGAGTCGTGCCAGTGGCCGCGTCTCAGCTCGCCTGGAAGGAGCAACAATGGAACTCTGGAAATCCAGAATCCCGTTCATGGCAGACCCAAAGGACACACCGGTGTCTCCAGGCTGTGGCATCCCTCAGAAGTGGAGACCACAAGGCCTTCCCACCCTGATTCATCATTAAACCGTATTTAAGTGGCCAAGTTAAGATTCACAGATGTAAAACCCCAGAATAAACAGTCCCTGAGACAAAACAGGCTTTTGCTGTGGGTGCAAATGAGCCTGAACAGAACAGAGCAGTTTTGTTTCTCCGCCCAAGAAGAGCCCAGAAGGCCGAACACCGGGAAAGATACTTTTTGCAAAAGTATCTACTTTGCAGTGAGAAGGGAAATTCAGAAGGGAAGCTTACCTAAAACGTGCTCTGGCCCAGTCCCTGAGGGCTGAGTGACCAGCACTGTCCTATGGACTGGGCGGCCACCACTGTGGCTGTTAAACTGTGTTAGCTGTTAAACTGGCTAACAGGGAAAGGGGGGGGAAGAAGAGCTGCCTATATTGGCCCCTGTGTGCTCTAGGCCTGTTTCAGGCTCACAGCCTGTGAATATTCCTGCCTTCTGTGCCCTGATTGATCTCGGGGGGGGGGCTGTGGCAAAATCAAAAGGGGGCCACTGTTTTGCTCTCAATGTGAACTAACAGTGTGTCAGAAGATGACTGTTTGCAGAAAGTCCATTTCAGCAGACAGACTTGGAAACTGTGCCACCAGAACTCAAAGTGATATCGATGGAAACGGCTTTTGTGCAGAAGTGAACGAATGTCTTAACAGCTGCAAATGAAATACACCAAGACAGAGCTGTGGACTGCAATAACATTCCTGAAATGGGTCAAGAGTGAGTAAACAAAAGACTAACATAAAAGCTTCTGACACAATTAAGAACTGTTGTAAGATCAACCTATAACTTCTAAAAGTGGTACATATATATGTGCTATGATTATTGTATCTGTTTTGTTATTTTCTATTCCATTTTACTATGCAATAGGAATTACTAACCAAAACTCTATTAATATCCAAACTGTCCTCTATTACTCTTTACAAGTTTTCTGGTGGTAACAGGAGGAAAGCAAGTGTCACTTGGCTGCCTCATTTTGCAAGAGCAGCTGACCTGACGTGACTTTGTACCTGGCTAAACAACCCCAGCTCCCTCAGCCGCTCCTCATAAGACTTGTGAGGAGGCCGAGGACAGGTAATTTCCTTTACCTGAGGACAGGTAGTTCCCACTTCTCCTTGAGGATTCACTTGCTGTAGTGTCCAGTCTTGCCTGAACCACCATAGGCTACTTGGAGGCTCTGGATAACCTGGAAAATCATAAGGCAGCCGAGGACCTGCTGGTGTGATGATCAATCATTGTGTCCATGCTGGCGGTTTCACAGAAATCAGCGGAACCAGGAGACAATGGAGGGAATCTGGAACGGGGGCGGAACCGGATCTGTGTGTGGACAGAGCCTGGGCAGTGAGTGGGCAGAGCCCAGCCCTTCCTCTCCTCAGGTGTTACAGACCATCCAGGCAGAGCTTGAGGATTTGACCCGGACCTTGAGGCAGGAGAGAGCTCAGAGCTTGCCACTGGCCAAAGCTCATGTGTGTCTCTGCTCCTGAGCTCCTGTTGTGCCGAAGGAAGTGTGAGTCAGTGTCAGTGCTGGAACACCCCGACCTTCACAGTGTGCACCTGCTCACGGATGGAGTAAAAAGAAATAGCCAGTGGTGTCCTTTTGAGGGGATGAGGGGGGACGAGCCTTCGCTGCGTGGGCCAGTTGCAGAGAAGTCAGCGCTTGGGTCTCTCTACAGAAAAAGGAAAATCCTCTCAGTGCCTCTTGGCAGCTCCTGCTGCTTCTCTGCACTGTATTTAATATTGGTTTTATATGAAATGTGGTAATACATACTCTGGAGAAGCAAGGACTGCTAGGTGATTGAGGAGGGGCCAGGACATCCACCACGTGGGATAGTGGCACGTGGTCTTGGTCACACATCCCACCTCAAGCTGCTGCCACTGGAAACCCCTCAGCACCTTCTGAGCTCCAGAGGGTGCCTTGAGGCTGCTGGTTATGAGCTTCCCAGGGGCTTGGCTTAACCCTTTCCCAGAAGTGGCTTTCCCTTGAAATACTTTAGCTGACAACTTGGAGAAGCCTGCCTGCAGCTTCCTGCCCTGCAGGCCCTGGGATACAGCTTGGAAGAGCTGTTCTTGGAAGAACCTGTTGCTGCAAAAGCAAGGTGAGAGAGCAGCCAGATGAGAGTGAAGTGAATGGGGGGGGGGGATGGTGGAAAAGGAAAATAAGTAACACCCAGGGTGACATAAACAGCCAGTAGGGAAAGTTCTTTTTTTAACTTTTCAGTCAGCCCATTGTCCTGCGGTGAAAGTCCCGGCGTCCTCGGAGCAGGGATGTTTATCTGTGTCCTGCATCTCAGCGAGCAGGAAATGATACAGCAGTGCTGAACTCATCTCCTCGTGGCCTCTCCAGGTGTGGGTGCAGCTCCTGCTTGGGATCTGCAGGAGCCTGGTTGCTCCACGGGCTGGGCTTGTCCTGGTGGTCCCTCTCCTGTGCTGCAGGAGAATCCCAGCCCCTGGAGGTGTCCAGGATGCAGAGGGAGGTCAGTGTTTGGGAGCCCTGGTTCACCCATACCAGCTCCTAGTTACCAGCACCCTGCAATGGTGCTATGGGAACACTTAAACAGGACAGAGGAGTTTGCTCATTAACTCCAGGATGGAAGCAGCAATTTTTAGCCGAGGAAGCAATAACTGCCACACGATGGCATCCTCTGCTGCAGCAAGAGGCAGAGGCCCTTCCAGCTCAGGAAACTCCGCAGGAGCCTTCCCTGGGGGCAGAGGGTGGTGTGAGCTCCCTGGGGAGAGTAGGACCCTTTCATAGGGCAGGAAAGGACACGTGTCCCTTCCGCATGGCCCCTGTCACCTTAGGGCTGGCAGGGCAGTGAAGGGCCATTCCTGCAGGCCAGGCATGGGTGGGTTTTTCCTTATCAGCCATCCGGTGGGCGCCCGGGGGAAGCGGCGCATCCTCTGCTGATGGGGGTCTTTCCTCTCAGCGGATGCCTGTCGGAGGTGGCCGGGGGGCTCACAGGGGTCAGCTGCACCACTGCCTTGCACCTCTCCCAGAGGCAGCCTTTGCTCCACCCCCTCCCTTCTGTCACAGCTCGGGGGGTCTTCAAGGGGTCCTGCTGCCTGCAGTCGGGTTGGTCCCTAAATTTCATCCCAGTGGCCTGGAGCGGGTGAAACTGCAGCTCTCTGGAGGTGTGGGCTGGGGTTGGACAGGGAGGATGTCCCTGGGGAGGACTCTGGGCTATGGTCCAGGTCAGTGAGAAGGGACTTTGGCACATCAGCTCTTTGTACAGACAGTTAATTTTGTTTTGGCACACAGGTGTGAACAGGACTGCCTTCACTCACAGTCCTGGTTTGAGATCAGCTCTGTTCCTGGGGGGAAGTTGTTCCCCAAACAACATTTGAAATCCAAGATATGCCTCATCTCTGCTTTCTTCAGTTCTCCTGTGCTACCTCCTCAGGTTGATATGAGGAACCATAGCCCAGGGTAGGAATCTCTCTTACTCTTATCCCCAGCACCCTCTTTTCTAATTATTCCCAGCCAACACAAAACTGCTAAGGGCTGGCATCTGTAGCATGTTGTTCTTTTAGGAGACAAGACAGCTGCATTGACCCTAAAAACCACACACCACAGCCACAACAGCAGGTCAGGAGCCTAAGAAGCTCTTGCACCAAATGGGGGAGGTGTGATGCTGCCACGGTCCCAAAAGGAAAGCTTGGGTAAGACAAAAGTGTGCTCCCCTGGGGCCAGGCTGACTCTGGTCATCTAAATACACTGCTGTGGGAGCAGGCTACTAGTGGGGTTATAGCTGAAACCCACAGGAGTCTGGAGGCTCTAGGCAGAGAAGAAAGATACACTTTGTTCTTACAAGGGTGCAGAGAAGCTGAGGTTAGGAGGGAAGGGGTCCAGTGACTCCCTGGTCTCTCAGCTGAGCCAGCAAGGCTTGAAAATGGTTAAGTGCCTGAGCAGGGAAGTGTGTGCCTGGCTTTGTTTTCCTGCCCAGCCCTTGTGTGTTTATTGTGCTGCTTCTTGTAAAGGCTCCTTGGGTGCTGAAAGCCCTGGAGGCTCTGATGTCCCCTTCTAAAGGAAACTTGCTGTGATGGAAGGGCTCAGCTCAGACCTTGGCCCCAATGGCCCCCAGCACAGTCACAGAGATTTTCTGGATCTCTCCTTCACCCCCTTAATGACAAGCTCATGTGAAAGGTGCACAGCCTTCTCCTGCCTGGGGAAGATGGGAAGAGGTGAGGCTTTCCAAGAACAGGCAATGAACAAGCTGCTTCTGGTAAGCACCTTTCTTAGGAACTGACAGCAAGCGTGTGCAGACACATCCACAGGATGGAGGAGTGGGAAGGGGACACTGGAGAGGTGGTGATGGTGCAGGCCCATGCATGCTGTGGGATGGGGCCACAGGGCTGGCTCTGCAGGAGAGGGGAAATCACAGCACCCCAAGTAAAGGGGTGGCAGCACCTGTGGTCTCCTTTGGTGCATGGAGGCTTCTGTCATGCCCTCCTGAGCAGCCCTACTGGTGCTCTCCATTCTCTTCCCTGCAGGGCAGTAGTAAGACACCACCCTTCAACAGATCATGGAATCTCAGAACAGTTTAGGTTGGAAGGGAACTTTAGAGGTGATCTAATCCAACCTCCTTGCCATGGCCAGGGACACCTCACACTAGACCAAGTTGCTCAGAGTCCCATCTGACCTGGCCTTGAACAATTCCAGGGATGGGGCATCCACAGCTTCTCTGGGCAACTTGTGCCAGGGTCTCACCACCCTCACAAGGAAGAATTTCTTCTGAATATCCAATCTAAACCTGCCCTCCGTCAGTTTGAAGCCATTCCCCCTTGTCCTGTCACTCCATGCCCTTGTCAAAAGTCCCTCTCCAGCTGACTTGTAGTCCTGTTGGTACTGGAAGGGGCTCTAAGGTCTCCCTGGAGCCTTCTCTTCTCCAGGCTGAATCCCAGCTCTCCCAGCCTGTCTCCACAGCAGAGCTGCTCCAGCCCTCAGAGCATCTTTGTGGTCTCTGGACTCTCTCCAGCAGCATCATGTCCCTCTTATGCTCGGGGCCCCCAGAGCTGGATGCAGGATCATGTGTCTCTCCTTCACCATGCCAGTTCATGGAACTGTGGCCTTCAGGGCCTGCACAAGGATTGCAACACCAGGATGTCTTCCCATTGCAACACAAGGACTCAGCAGGAGCCAAGGGCTCGGTGTGTTCAGTGAAGTCCACTCTGGCAGAGTTCCAGCACGCTCCTTCCCCTCAGCTGAACACCTGCCAAGGTTCCACCTGTGCCATCCAGACACACTTCCCCACAAGAGCCTTTCCCATCCCCTTCCCTAGGGAAGAGGTTGCTCCCAGTGGCTGTGTCGCTCTGCAGGGTTGAGCAGCTCTTCTCTGTTTAGAAAGAACTTGACGATGTTGCAGACTGAACAGCTCAATGTTTGTTTCTTTGCACACAGTATTTTCAAACAACTTCAAACTTGTTTATTGCAGCGGCCAGTGAAGCCCTTGGCAGCCTCCATGGGGCAGGACCAGAAGTTCTCCTCAGTCATGGCTGATCCAGCTCACAAGGAGAGGCAACAATTCCCACTGCAAGTATGCACCTTTCCCTACAATGTCCTGCTGGGATCAGCCAACAGTTGGCAGCTCAGGTGTGATGAGGCAGCTCAGGGGAAGAGCTGTGTCCCACAACCTGGCTGCCTTGGGAATGCTGACTGATATAGCTGTGGGCTACTTCACTATGGAAAGTACAGAATCCCAGTGTTCTGCTTTGTCTGCTGGAGCCCAAGTTTGCTCTTATTCATAGTGAAGGAGGAAGACATTATGTTCAGAGAAGTGAAAGCCAGTGTCATGTTAGCTGCTATTTTTGAAAACATTTTCTATGTAAAGCAGTTTTTGTAAAATGCAAGTCCCAGACGTGTCGATAGGTCCAAAGTAGGAGTTGTTCCTGTAGAGTTCCAAAGTAGAAGTTGTTCCTGTAGAGACCCTGGCTGCAGACAGCCCCAGACAGCTGCTCCTCATTTCCTGCTTTTTTCGCTAATGTGAGAAAATACAAAGTCTTGAGCTGCCAAACAGATTCGCTTGGTCCTCTGTCTTTTAATTTTCTCCCTTTTTATAGTAACAGCTCAAGAGCTCCCTGTGGAGCACAGAGGCTTCTCCAAAGTGAGAGGCCACCTTTGGCTCCAAGGAACTTTCTCCTGAGTCTGGCACTGGTGTCCTTGGCCAGGAGAGAGGAGGTTGGTGGGTCAGTTCTGGACTGCTCTGGGCCATAGAACCCATTGCTGTGTCATTGGAAAAGCCACTGGTGTTTCTCCATGTTGAAGTCTGGGAATCTGGTCTCACATCCAGGAACCAGCTGCACCCACTGGCCTCATCTGCAGTAGGTGCCCCACCAGCCCTGGCTCCCAGATCTTGCTGCCTCTGTGCTCCTGGAGAGAGAAGCCCAGCTCTGGTGAGTGTGGGAGCTCTGCCACTGGGGTGGTGCTTTAGGTCCCTTCAGTCTCGTGCTCCTGGACTCAGGTGCAAGGGGATTGTGTCTGAGCAGTGGCTGAGCTGCCAACCCCGCCGAGGAGAGGTGGGCTAGTGCAGGGATGAGCTGGCACGAGGCAGATGGGAGCCTTATCAGGGGAAAGAGAATCTCATGATATGTCTCTCCAGTCGTGTGTCAGCCCATCTCCCTTGCAGCATCGAGACTGGCTGGGTCTTCCCAAAAGCTAAGTATTCCTGTAAGCCTCTGGGATGGAGATCATGGACAATATTGTGGACAGCAAAGGATGCTGTCAATACCTGCTACCAGACCCTGCTCCAGTGTCACCAACTGCTGAGGTCTTGGGAGCTCCTGAAGAGACTTTCCATGAAGTGGAAATCATCAGCATTCTCCTCTGATCCTCTCTGGCATCTTTTTCTGGGTCAGATACAGGCTCCCAGCTCTCACTGACTTTTACTTTTCCCCCTGTAATCACCTGATTTCAAGGAACGCAAACCTACTGTAACAAACAGCCCTTCTTGCACAAGAAACCAAAACAGCCAAGGAGCACAAATTTCCAGAATGGAAACTCCCTGAAAGAGACGGGACATGTTCTGGGGCCGTTTCCTGTTTGTTTAGGACACAGCCCATGTTCTTTTTATATATCGTCTTGCACATAAAGCTTTGCAGGGTC